TTTTTTACTTAGGCTGACTGTTTTCATGTTACTGAGTTTTGAGAGGTTTATAAACATAATCTGGATTAAAGTTCTTTATCAGATGTGTTGCTTGCAGACATTTCACGCTGTGGCACGTCTTCTCATTCTTTTAATGATCTCTTTCAAATAACAACAAAAGTCACAGGAAACAAAGGAAAATCAGAGAGGAAAGTTCTTTTATTTTTAAATTAGAGATTTTTTTCAAGAAGGCCCAACATCCCAATAATGGAAACCCCAGAAAGAAAGAAGGAGGAACCTGGAAAAATTCATTCCAGACCCAGTCCTGGGTTGGGAGGACGTGGGGGCCAGTCTTAGCAGGTTTGTGGTGTGGCCCAGGGTGGATGGAGAGAGACCCACAGTGGAGACAAGAACCCTAAACCCTCGGAAAGAGAAGGAATCGGCTCAGGTTTTGGGAGCAGCACCTGCCTGCTGCTAAGGGAACGTTATTTCAACCCAGAAGTCCCAGCCCAGCCAACTTCTCAGTCCAGTGCGAGACAGAGCACACCATCTCCAGTACATTCCTCAGCCATGGGGGACTTCTGCGGGTTCACTCTGCACGGCCTGGACGTGAGAGGGGCAGGGGCCTGGGAGAAGCCAGCGACCGGGGGGCTGGAGTGGGCTCTGTCCTCAGGACAGTAGACTAAGGAAGCAATGAAACCAGCAAATGTTAGACTGCAGAGCAGAGGAGGGGTGGCTTAGTCACCAGTAGCATGTGCACGGTCACAGTATTGTACACGCAGCGTGTGCCGAATTAACTGGGAATTCGATGCTGTCGTTTGGGGATGAGGGCCATCTGAGGGGAGATGTTCCTACAGAACACCTAGCACTGACTCAGCGGGAGACCATAGTACAAGTTGCTCTTGAGGGCAAACACTAGACCATCTCAAATTGTCGGCAGGTGACCAGTGCCGGGAGGGGCGTGGTGACGCGCCACCTTTTCTGTGGGCCGTGTGAAAGAGCTGGGCTTTTAAATTGTGCATGTGTAGGGTGCGTGCTTAGCGCACCTGGAATCTTGGGTTCAGTCCCCAGTACCTCCATTTAAAAAAGAAAGGAAAAAACTGTGCAGGTGTATGACTTAGATGAAAATAAAACTCTTGAAATGTCTTAACTGAGAAGAAAGCAGTGCTGGGCAAGAACCGTGTCTCTCTCCTACAGACGGTACCCGCAGGTGACCTCTGTGAGGCTGGAGAGGCTGAGTCCCAGAGAGCTGAGTCGGCAGGTCCTGCGCCTGCTGGAGCGCTACGGCCTGGACCCTGGTGAGTGAGGCCCCTACACCCTGCACCAGGGGCGGGCAGGCCCTCCTGCACATGCCCAGGGACGCCAGGGCTGGTGCCGCTGGTGGCTCAGGATGCCAGGATCCACTCACCCTAGCACCACCTTCCTGTCTCCTGCTTCCCTTCAGCAGACTGGGCTCTGCGAGCCCTTCCACCCACCTGGCGTGACTCCTGGGAGTCTGGGCCCCTGTGGGTGAGGACCTCCGAGGCTGTACCTGCACTGCACCCCCTCCGGCTCCTCAGCCCTCCCCATGGTGATCACGGGCAGCCTGGTCTTTCACTCGTCTCAAAGGGAAAGTCTCACTGATAGCGTTTTGTGGGTTCGCTGTGTTAGGTTATGGAAATTCTCACTTCCTAGTCTACTGAGCATGTTGATCAGGAACGGATGTTGAGTTTTATCAAATACTCTTTCTGTATCTATTGGATGATGACATACTTCTCCCCTTGGTCTGTTAATGTGGTAGACCACGCTGTTCAACTGTAGCATCGAACCAACCTTGCATTCCTGCCGTGGCCCCATCTCGGCTGTGGTGCGGAGCCATTTACACACACTGCCAGGTTTGGTTGGCCAACTTTTTTTTTGTTGAAGGATTTTTTCATCTGTGTTCACAACTGAAGTTGGACCCAGACTTTGATCTCCTGAAATGTGTGTGCCTGGCTTTGTGTACGAGGTTAAGCTGGTCTCTGAAAACACGATGGATAACCACCCCTCCTTTCTTTTCACTGACAGTGTTTGTCTGAGATTGGAGTTATTTCTTCCTCAGAGGTTGGGTGGAAACGGCCTGTGAACCAGGTTGCCTTTCCTTGTGGAAACTAACTGTTGATTCGTCTTAGTCAGCAGTGGGTTTTTTCCAAGGCAAAACCTGTCTTTCAAAAGTGTGCAGCATTCAGAATGTTAGTTTCTTGGGCCTTCTCTTTTTTTCTCTTTATTTCTCCTGATCAATTTCACTGGCAGTTTC